AGGAAATAACTTCCACTGGTGAACACTGCAAGCGGTGATACGTCTGACGTGTAATTTGTGCACCCTGGCTATTTCCTGTCTGTTCAGACATTTCCATGTATAATTTTTTCCCTTTTGAGTCTAATTGCCAACTCTCACCAAACTTCGTGATGTTTTAACAGATCAAAACTGTTCTTCAAATTTGTAGATTAGATGTATTTTTTTTTGTTGTTGATTGGTTCTGCTTCAGTTTCTCCGCACAGTATAACGTATATATCGGTATTTATTTAACAGCAATAATTATTTTTGATGTTTTAAACACAAAAAAGCGTTGAGTCAACAGTATAAGTAATTAATTTACAAACAAGGGCCAAAGGTATTTCGTAAACACATGCGTGGGACAATAGCTTTATAATAGTTTTCTCTTATATTCCACTCCTTCACAAAACTAAGGCCTAGAAAATTAAACGGATTAAAAAATACAGAATTTTAGGGTCTAGGAAAAGAATGTTAACTCACTTTTTCTTTCCTTTATTTCACCAACGGTATCTATTTAATCAGAATTTGAAAATTATCTGTCGTTGTCAGTTGCTGCGTCAAAAATGACAGAAAAAAAAATTCTGTCACGTCAAAAAGGGGGATTGGCCATTGTGAGACAAAAACTAGAACCAAGCAAATTATTTAAAATAGACATTGAGTTAAGTAAAACCTTGGCAAAGATTATCCTACCAAAAAAGTTAATAATGCTTTTTGAACAGTAATAAAAATATTATTAGGTAAACAAGAAGTTCGAAAAAAAAATGTAAAGCTTTTTTAGCATTTTTTATTTTTTGCATATATTTCTTACGGATAATCTAAATCAACTGCTCTTCATCTTTTTCTCACACTTTTCAGCACGTCTATTAAGCACCTAATGCGAATTAAACGACAGAATTCTTCCATAGTACTTTAATACTTTTGATGGCGATCGTTACATATTAATGCTGATGTGAAAATTGTTGCAGGTGCTCAATAATTTCTGAAGTATGATATGCGTATTTTCTTCACCTTTGTCAGTGTACTTAGGATTATGTCATGTTAATAGTGTTCTTGCATGAAAGCATTTTTAAGAAGATAAGCTGGAATAAGGTACTTTCGAGCACTTTTAATTCTTTTCATTGTTAAAATAATTTTTCTTTCAAATTTTATGTCTAAAATAATTAAGTAAACATAGTCAGAAAGCTGAACATAAAACCGGTAGGAAGGTATTTTTATCTCTTAGACCACGCTAAAAAGTAACTCTAAAATGCGCATTTTTTCTTTGTAGTATGTGGAACAGACACTACTTAATATACGTCAAACATCAGAAACTAATCGTTGACAGAGAAAGGGCGACTATAATACAACTTTGAGCCAGTTTTGCTGACTTTTTTGTTGGTCATATTCGCTTACAGGAAAGTGATGGAAGTAATCGGTATAAGAAAAAGAAGTAAGGTTGCCGGAGCAAAAGGCTGCAAAAAAAATTGAAAATTTAGTCATGGAAATTTGTGGAAAAGTATGCTGCAAATATTGTGCAGAAAAATATTCGCAACTTTTTGGTCTCATCTGAAATAATTTTTGTACGTTATCTACTAAAAAAATACTCTTTTTTTCTTTTTATTTTGCTTAATTTGTCAAAGTAATTTTTTTAGCTTTGTTATCAATATATTGGTTAACAAATGTTTCGGCCACTTATTTCCAGTTTTTCATTCATAGTTAAATTTTTACAATTACGTTACGTAACAATCTAAAATTAAAAGAAGTTAAGAAATTGAACAGGCTAAGTGGATACCGCACTGCAGTTAGACTTTAAGAAAAGCACAGGAACTATGCTTCACTGTGACGTTTAATGAAACTAAAATTTTATCTTTAGAATTAACTAATTGGCAAAAGATTTTAGCAATTAGATAGTTTTCTTTTGACTTAGAAATAGAAAAAGGTTAATTTGAAATGTTTTTAGGATTACTATTTAAAACCAATTTTTTTTTTTTTTT